GCCCACCACAAGGACCGTGTAAGCGTGACCAGCTCTCACCCCCCCTCACAGCGTAATCAAAACCATCCCAGCCCATCCCGGGGAGCAACTGGAACCACTTTGAGGCGAGAAGCCCATTACTGAGTTATAAACCTCTCCCATCCTCCACGGGAGCCTTTCACAGGGCCAGCCAGAAAAATAATAACTCCAACCCATGTGGTGAGGAGGGAGAGAATTCGGTGTCTCCAGGTAACAAATATTTGCTTCTCTCGCCCTTGTTCCAGCCATAAAATGGATTTATTAAAGAAAAAAAAAAAATCCAGAACTTGATTTCATTTGAATTAAACGTGAGTGTGCCCCCCTGCCCCCCACTGAGCTTTGTTTAATATGCTTTAAGCTGTGAAGTCTCAGCTGAGCGTGTAGGATGCAGAAGGCAAGGCTTGAATAGCCCAGCTCCGTTGGCATCAGTGGATTAGCACTGATTTAAATTAAATAAAAACTGGGGATGTGATTGGTAAGTGCAGGCAGAGAGTCAACACGAGCATGTGGGCAGATATCCTGATCCACTGTCCAGCAAAACTCAGAGCTCCCAGTGCCCCTCAGTGCATCCACATCAGCTCTGCCCGGTAAAGGTAAGAGGAAGAACTAAACTTTTGAGCCACTACCATGCAAGGAAGTAGATTTTTCCTCATCATCTCTAGTCTAAAAAAAAAAAAAAGGACCAATTTGTGTCCTTAGAGCTTTTCTCCCCTTGGTGCAGAGGGAAGCTCTCACCTGCCCTCTGGAAGTGGGAGCTGAGCAGAGCTGTGCCTGGGACAGGGTGGCAACGCCACACTCCAGGTGGAGGCTGCCTGCCCTCCTTGGATTCCCAAAAAACCCTTGCAAGTTGCAAAATTCCACATTTTGCTTCCCCATTTACTCTGCTTGAACTGGACCCACGGGCCTCTCACCCCTTTTCCTCCCTTGGAGGGACAGGGTTCCCTTTGGAGGGACAGGGTTCACTTTGGAGGGACAGGGTTCACTTTGGAGGGACAGGGTTCCCTTTGGATGGGACAGGGTTCCCTTTGATGGGACAGGGTTCCCTTTGGAGGGACAGGGTTCCCTTTCATGTAACCAAATGGATCAAAACTCCAAAATTTTTGACCACAACTAGTTTTTAACCAAAACTCAAATTTTTAGCCACAACTAGTCATGAACTAACCCATGATGGATCCATGCAGGGTCATGGATGTGCCTGAGACTGAGATAACAGCAACTGCTCAGGAAAATTCCATAAATTAGGACAAAAAATCCATCACCACACGGTCCTTTAGGACCATCCCTTTTCTGCTGCCTCTGCCGTGAAATCTCATCTCTGGCCACTAGAAGCAGAAGAGAAAGCCAAGAGACAAGCAGAGGACACGGTTCCTCCTGCTCTGCCCCCTCCTTCGCCCAAAATCTAATAAAGATGATTAAATTACATGTCTTTTCCTCCCGTTGCAATCCCCGCACACCGCCCAAGCGTCAGAGCTCAGGAAATAAGGCACGACAACTTCCCTCGTGAAACCTAAGAAGGCAGAGCAGGGGTCTGGAGAGACAGGCCTGCACCACTGGGCTGCTCTAATTAAGAAATCACCCCGCTGAGCAGAACCCAATCTAAATAAAATAGAAAAAGGAACCGAGTTCAAAAACGCTGCCTCGCGCTCTGCCCCCGCCCGCCGGCCCCGCCGAGCGTCCAAGGCACAGGGACCTCTCCTCTGCTCCCTCCTGGAGGGTGAGGGAGGCTCACACAGAGCCCTGTGTGTGCTTGGGGTGGCCAACTTCCAAGGGAAAAATCCACCAGCCAGGTATGGCAAAAGCTGCTGGGTTTTTGTTATTTGTGGTGTTTTTTTCTTAATTATTGGTGATTTTAATTTTTTTTTTTTTTAAGTGATACTTGGCCTGCTCTTTGCTAAGGAGGGGGGGAAAAGCAAACCCCCTGTGACAGATAGATTGTTGGGATGGCTGGTCCAAACTGGTTTGGGACAGAAAGCTGGAGGATGGGTTACACTTCCCACTCGCCTAGAAAAGTTTCTGCCTTTCACAGAAAAATGTTGAAAAAATTAATATTAGACCTAAAAAAGCCACATATTTTTAAAATTTAAAAATATATATATTTAAGCCTAAAATCTCAGCTGATTTGATCGTTCTCATCTATTCTTAGAGAATTTCCTTACTTTCCCATTCAGATTCCCCATCAACCACTATCCCCACCTTCCACCACCATCCCACCAGTCTCCCAGTCTGGACCAGAGATCCAACCATCACCAGCTGCCTGTGTCCTTCAGCCCTGCTCTTCTCCCCATCGCCCCATTCCCCACGGTCCTCTCCCCCTTCCCAGTTCCAAGCAGGTCCCACCACGCTCTGCAGCTCCTCCCAGCCCTGGATTTCACAGCATGGAGTTCCCAAGTGAGAGGCTCCTTAAGAGCTGGGGAAGATTTACAGCCACACACAGAGGAGCACAGACACTCCCGGCTGTGTTTTAAAAAAGCACTTTACCTGCTTAAAAGGGAAAGTGCTGCTACTTGAAGGTTTCCTGGCCAGACCCGAGGAGCAAATCAAACAAACACTATTTGCATTTATTCCTAATTCCCAGCAGGTTGTTGTTCTAGGAGCTTTTGGCTCCAGGGGAGTTAATCTGACTCGTGCCAGCAGAGGACCAGGCTGGCTGAAGGTGTTCTCCTAAAGACACAGAATCCTGGAATCATTCAGGTTGGAAAAGCCCTCCCAGGGCATGGATCCACCAAATCCCCACCTTGTCCCCAGCCCAGAGCACTGAGTGCCATGGCCAGGCCTTCCTGGGACACCTCCAGGGCTGGGGACTCCAAACCTCCCTGGGCAGCCCCTTCCAATGCATGACCACCCTTTCCATGGAGAAATTCCTCCTGATGTCCAATCTGAGCCTCCCCTGGAACAACTGGAGGCTGGGAGAAGAGGCTGATCCTCAGCTTGTTCCAGTGGGGTGGAATGAGATGAGATTTAAGGTCCCTTCCAACCCGAACCATTCTGTGATTCTACAAAATTAGTTTCACCACCAGGGCGATCAGACACTGGGACAGGGACCCAGAGGGGATCTCCATCCTTGGAGATACTCAGACCTGCACTGGACATGCCCCAGAGCAACCCAGTGTGGGTGTCCCTGTCCTGGCAGGGGTGGACTGGAGCCCTGCAGGGTCAGTTCCAGCTGAAGTGATCTGCAATCCTGTGTCTCCCTACCCACACCCCCAGTGCTCCCATTTCCTTCCAGCCTGTGCTTGGCTCCTGAGCCTCTGGAGGGGCTCCCAGACCCTCCCAGACACAAAACTGCTGCAGTTTCTTTTGCAAGAGCAAACCCATTTCTCCATAACTCAGCTAAAGCGTTAACACTCCCGTTTCAGTTCCTTTTATGACAGCCCCAGGCTGCTGCCAGCCAGGCTCCCCTCACCACCCAACCCTGCGCTCAGCAACGCCCCCGACTCCCTCACAGCCCTGCCTGCTCTGCAACTGGGGAAAAAAAGGCAAATAAATGCACCACAGAAGAAGAACGTTGGAGTTGGAGGCCAACAGAGAGTGGCAAGGAGCCAGCAGGAGCGCACAGGGCTGCACTGAGCCCACCCCACGAGCCAGACGGGGTCCAACCTCCCTCAGGGGCAGCAAGGCTGGGCTGAACGAGAGCTCTGGGCTGGTTATCCACGGGGTTTGTGCCCATTCCTCATCCCTCAGGCAATACAGGGGGGAAATTGGGGCTGCACTGCAGCCCAGTGGGTTTTCTCCCTCCTGTGCTCTCTGCCCTTTTCCACAGGGCTTTGCTCAAGCCCCACAGCAGCTCCCCCGACTCCGTTTCCCATGAAACAGGACAAGGTTGCTTTATCTTTACCAGGCATTGTGGGAACGAAACCCACCCACAAAGCAGCAGGTGAGGGGAGCTCACTGCTGCACACAGGGAAGATGAACCCTTGGGAAGTGCTGTCCCCCCTCCCTGGAGGCTGCACTGTCCCGTGGCACTGCCCTGAGGTGGCACTGCTGCTTCCTCTCTTCTTCAAATCCAACCAACAGGAGACTTTCCCTTAACAACAACCAGTGAAAAGCTCTGATTCATTCCCTGCTAACTCCTGTTCACTGCAGTGCTCAGAGCAGATCCCTGGGGCTCAGCACAGTGCAATCCAGTGGGATTCCCTGGAACTCCGTGGAGTAACTCCAGTTTCATTCTTTACCACTGAAGTGGCCACACCAATGCCTGATGCACAGAGCCTGACACCCCTCCCTATCTCACACCTCTGGGGGAGTCCAGAATTCCCATAATTCTTGCCCAACAGATGGAAACTGAGGCAGACAGACTTTGTCAAGCAATTTGCCCTGGGCAAAGGGCATAAGCAGAAATGGGAAATACTTCTTTTGAACCCAAGCCTGGGTTTAACCCCCAGGCCAGGCTTTCCCAGGTGCCCACAGTCATCCCTCCGTTCCCCCACTGAGGACACACAGCTCTAACACCTTTAATCTCACTCTGTTTTGCAGAAATAATGACACAAAGTGCATTATTATATATTATATCATACTGAGAGGCAGCACCACGGGGTAAGCACCACACAACACATGCCAGAAAAAAAAATATTCCAAATCTACACATGATGCCCTAAATGTTCATTGCAACTCAGGTTTCTTCTTAGCCAAAACCACATGCACAGCCCAAAACTACAAACCCAACAATTTTATGCTGATATTAGATAAAACTCTGCACTTGCACAGTGTATGGTACACTCTGCTGGGACCTGGGTGAGGACAGCACAGATCCCTAGTCCATGTCATTCATACAGTTATTGTTTTACTCCAATCCTTTGTAAATGCCTGCTAAACTTCAAACTCTCAGCAGCCAAAAAAAAAAAAACTTGAATAATTTCCCATTTCAGGTTTGGAAAAGAAGGTGTGAGGAGTCTTTGCACGGGCTGAGCGTGGCCCAGGCAGGCCAGGAGCAGAGGGAAGGCACATGTGCTGTCCTTACACACACACACAGAGCACAGACATACCTGCACATCCCAGGGGCTGTGTGAAGCCATTCCAGACTCGGGCTCTTCATCATTGTCCTCATCATCTTCGGTGGGGATCCCAGGGCTCCTCTGGAGAAGGGACACCCAGCCTCCTGGAACAACAGGGTGTCACTGCATGGACCTGCAGGGAGCTGGGCAATCCCAGCCAGCCAGGTGAGTGGCCAACATCCCCACTCTGCTCGGCCAGCAGACCCCTGAGCTGCTCACGGGGAGCTCATGGCCCAGCTCAAAGGACACACCACCCCAAAAGCCCCACTCAGAACCTGCCCCTGCCCCGCCTCGACCCCTTGACTTCGCCCTCAGCAATTCCAGAGCTTCCCAGAGAGCAGGGACCCCCCAGGCCCCTCCCTGCCACCCTGGAGATGGATGAGCAGCGAGCCCCAGCAGGGACTGAGGCTGGAGCGTGCTCTGATCCCACCTTTTATGCCCTTGGTTCACCCGTTTCGGGAGGCAGCGGCGGCGAGCGGCACACGCAGGGGATGGAGAAGATGATGGGCTTTAGCAACAGTCCAAGGACACCCTTTCTTAGGCTCCATTCATAGCGCCAGGCACGGTACAACAGCCCAGCAATTGTTCTCCCAGACATCACCTTCCCATGGAGGCCACTGCCAGAGCCCTCCCCTGCGGGCCCATCACTTCCCTGAGCGCTATTCCTTTCATTAACCACGCTGCCCTGCAGACATCTCCACAGAAATTCCACCACTGGCAGACAAGGACTGGGTTTTTTCTCACTTTTCCTTTCTCTCCTTCTCTCTTTTCTTCTCACTCCTGGCCCTCTTTGGCTCTGCTCACCTGCACTCCCGTGCTCCTCTGGAGGTATTACAGATGGTGATGGCCCAGAGGATAAGGGTATTCCTGGCATGATTAACATCCAGTGGCACAAAGGGACGAGGGGGTTGCTCAGGTTTTTTAAGCTCTCCAATATCATTGTTTTTATTCCCAATATCATTGTTTTTATTCCCACTCTGTGATTCTGGTTTGGGGTTTTTTCCCATCAGAGTTGCTGATGCTCCACCTCACTTGGAGTCTGGATTCATTGGCCCCACGGTGCAGAGCAGCAGGATGGGGATCCCAGGTGGGAGAAGCACCAGTGAGATCACGTGGAAAGGGCTCCCCAGGAGCCAAAGGAGTTATCTCACCAGGGTGGCTCAAAGCTAAACCACCACAACAGGTCAAGGTGAGGAAATGGTGTCAGGAGTGTCATAAGTGGAATTTTCCTGAGAAAATTCCTGCAGTTTTTCACCCAGGCCTGTTGCTAGATAGAGCCAAATTCCATCCTATTCCCGTTGCATAACATAATTAATAGTAATACAAGCTCTGCCATTATGCAAGAAAACTTTCCGTTCCAGTTTCATCTCACCTTAATCACCCATCCTTGCAGTGGTGTTAACGCTGTTTCCTCACCCTGCACTCGGTGTAACCTCGTTAAGCCAAAGCCTAAAGTCTACGTTATTTATTTATTCCACATGATAAAACCAGGATATTACTCACTGTGATAACACGGGTTAATTTTCAGTGAAGCCTCTCTTGGCAAACTTTTAATACAATGAATAACACCCCTATCAGATCCCAGATAAAAGCTGTCATATTGTAACCTCAGCTCAGGCTTTGGCCCAGGGACTTCAAGGTGCAGTAATTACGTTCTGCTGGTGTTTTTTTTTTTTTTCTTAATTGTTACTCATAAAAATCAAGGCATAAAATTAAATTAGTTCAGTGTTATTTAGCATGAGCTTTACTCAAGGCCAGCGCCCGTGTCAGGCTGGGAATGGTGTGTTAAATCCCATTTCCAGTGCACCTCTCTGGTGGGCCTTGAGTGGGAAATTTGGTGGACAGGAATTGGGGTAGATGGGGTAAATATTGTCCCCATCCCCTCCTCCTGCCTGCGTGGGAGGGTGCAAACAGAGCCGGGGGCAGCCCTTGGCCACCCGAGCCCCCAAAACTGCACCCAGAGCAGGTTCCTCCAACCTTCCATGGGTGGGAGAAACGTGGGGAGAACGAACCTGACAGTGTTCATTTCAGCAATTTCTATTAAAAGCAAAAGAGGGCGAATTGAGTGGAAAAAATATAAGATGGTCCCAAGTCAGAGAGTCCCATTTTGACCCAACCCAGAGCAACATCACCAGACACCCAACCCAAAACTAAGCCCTGTCCTCCCACGTGAGGCTGTTCCAGTCCCAGCAGAGCCCAGAGCTGCTTCTGGGACAAACTGGAGCAACATGGGCAAGGCAGTGAACAGTTTCTGCAGGGCTGGAAGGGCCTCTCTGACCTGAGATCACTGCAAGGGTTGAGATTCCAGCAGCGTAAGCCAGCGGAGAAATGGGATGGAGGGCAGTGGGGTTACTTTAAAATTAGCAGAGGTGTCGACTAAGCTTTTCCATGAATTTGGTTTGCAGGTTTACTTTTTTCCTTGAATTTGTGCGAGCCTGTGGGCCAGCCCCGTGGCAGAGCTCCGTGTGAGGGATGGCACGAAGCGTGTCATTAAAGCGGGGAAGCCTCCACGAGGTGTCAGAGCCACGATAAGTCCTGTTTAAACTTTACCCAGAGCTAAACACCAAGTGTCAACATGCACTGCTGCCCAAGCTCTCTGATCAGGCCAGGCAAACATCCAATCAGAAGTATAAATCAAAGCCCAGACACATCCAAGTGAGACTGGAGTGTTTAACTCTACAATTCCCATCTGACCAGGACTTTCCCAGCAGGTTGCCCACAGCCAGGTCTCTCCCCAGACATTTGTTTATGTAAGAAACCCGTCTGTGTGCATTATTCCTGTATTTATTTCCCCCTGGTAGGCACAGGCACAAGGAAAGGCTCGGCAGGGTACACGATGTCCCAGCCCTGCAGCGGCCGCGGGCGCTGCTGGGGGATGTTCTGTTTGCTTTTCCTCCCACCCCATCTCCCCTGGAGACCAACCCTGGGCAGCCCAAAATTCCAAATTAACGGCAGGGCAAAGCCACGATTCTGATCTCACCAAGCGGGAAAAAGGACAGGGAATGCCATCCATCAGCTTGGGGATCATCAGGCTCTCCGTGCCACCCTTCCTCCCCCCAAACCAGGGCTTACATTCCCCATGGGCAGGGGCACAGCAGGGAGGTCTCTCCTTTCAGGAACTCTTCAAAAAAAACCCCAAAAGTCACTTTTTCAAGCCTCCACCACAGCCCCAGGCTCCCTACAAGACCAGACAGCCACTGCCAAGGACGACAGGACTGCCAACCCCACGTGCCTTTGGGAGCTGTTGGCCACCTTTGCCAACCATTTGCTTCCAGGAGTGGACTCTCTGCAGTTTTCCCTGCTCACCCCAGTGCCTGGAGGAGAAGGGGGACCCACTACCCACAGTGTCACCCCACACCCCCCGTCCCCTCTGCCAGTCCCTGTGTCAGCACCATCCACCTCAACACACGAACACATTTTGGGCTGGCTGAGCTCACTAAGCTTTGGATCAGACCTCCAAGTCGTGTAACTCATAATTAGAAACCCATGCCAACATTCTGAGAAAAATCTTTTTTTTTTTCCTCCCCAGATTGGGCAAAAGAAAGGTTAAAAAACACCATCTGTCATGGTGATTTTTTTTCATATTTCTCTGTCCTTTTCCCTCGTTAAAGGGAAGTGGGGAGGGGAGGATGTTCATTTGAAGCTTGCAACATGTTTTATTAATTGATGGCAAATAATCCTAAGATAAAGTGCACAATAAATTTTTTAATGAGAACATATGGTGGGGAAAATTGATAGGACTGAGCCTTTGAAGATTTCCTTGTGAGCACAGCTACAAGAGGAGCGGGAACAGGCTTGGACAGGGAAGCCCAAATATTCCTCAGAGGGAGAAAAAGGCAAAGGGCAGGTGGGGGCATCGCTGCTGTCACCAGGTACCAAGTGCTCCAGCTGGACATGGCCCCTGAAGTGATGCTCAAGAAGCAGTTCAGGGCAGGTCTAAACACAGCTCAAAATTCACCTGTGACTCTGACCCGTGCCAAGTTCTGGTGTCAGTTGATACAGGGGATCCTCCCTGGTGTCAACTGCTTAGGAAGGGGCTTAAGCTGAACTGAAATAATCTGCTCATGAAGACCAAGTGCCTGTTTGGCCACCTCAGTCATGGAATGGTTGGGGTTGGAGGACAAGGTGGGGATGGGGCACAGGGAGGGCACTCCAAGGTTTTTGGAGTCTTTTCCAGCCTCAGTGAAACGATTCTCTGCAAAGCCACGTTCCATGGACAGGATGCCACGAGGACATGGGGACACCTGACCCCTGCCCTGCACATCCCTGTCCCTCCTCCTGCCCTCGCTGTGACTCTGCCATCAAACATCAGCCACTCTGGGCTCCTTCCCACAACGGGCAGCCAAGCCCAAGCCAAAGGGAAACAAATGCCCCAAAGCACATCAGGAACTCTCTGCCACAAAGGGCTTTTTCTCAATAATGTAATTCATTTATTTGAGATTTATCATCAGCAGTGCCACAGACACGTTCACAAAAACTGGGGGTGGATGACACAGTATTTAAAGCAACATTTCTGGCAAAAAATAAAGAAATAGAAATGCCTCCCAAGGGCAACCTGATCCCCGAGCAGCCATATCCACATTATATATGGGATTTCTTCCAGGGACAAAGTGACTTAGGAGCACAGCCCCCCTGCTGATTCTCAGAGGATTTGTGCTCACCTTGGCATCTCCAAATATCCCATTCTAATCCATCCATAAACAGCTACACCCTCCAAACCAAACATACCCTGGCCCTTAATCCACCACTCCCAGCACAGCCTGAGGGAACAGCCGAGCCTTGCAGGGTTTGAGGAGGATCAGCTCGTGCTGCCCCAGGGCTCCACCACCCCCCACCAGCACATTTCAGTGCTCCAGAAATGCTCCTACCTCAACCAAGCCTGACCCCTGCCCCAGCAGCACCCAGGGAAACACCCTCACAGGACATGGGATGCACTGCACGTGGGTTTTGAGCAGGAATTTTGCCTCAGATCCCACAGCTCTGGGCGATTCAAGACATTGAGCATCCCCTTGAGCTCCACCAAGAGGTGTGGATGCACCCCAGGGGGCTGGGCTCATGCAGAGCAGGCACTACAAGCAAGAAGTGTCCCCAAAAGTCATTGAAT